ATTTTATTAATGTTTTTTTAGAGATACAAAGAGTACATCTTGCATAAGAAGTTTTTTTTTCCTTTACAAAATACTTCCATACAAAAGACCTAGTATGTGGTTGTAATGGTTCGCCGGTTTCATTTACTTTCATAGTATCATTATTAATACAAGAAGAATCCACAGATAAATCGTCTATTTCATTATTGTCTATAGAAGAATAGCTTATATTGTAATTGTTCTCTTCAAAGTCTTCCATAATAGCAAAAAAAAAGATATATACAATTCAACAGTTTTTCAATAAACTCTTGCCTTAGTTTTAACAAGAACTGGTTCGAAAAATTAGTGCTGTTTTTTTTTTTTTGAATTGTGTGGTGTAAAAGTAAGTTCTAGACTAGAAGTAATGTCTTAGAAAAAAATTTTCCATGTATTGTTTATTATCGTATTGTTTGTCATCGTATTGTTTGTCATTGTATTATTCATTATCATATTGTTCATCATCGTCATATAGATCTCTAACACTAACATTTTATATTCATTGAAGGCAGGTGATTAAACATGCGAGTCTATGTAGGTCTTACCGAGTACCCATTATTACAAACCCGAATCGGTCAGTTCTGAAAAATTGTAAACCCAAACTTGAACCGCTAAGTCGATTCCAGTTCGAGTCCAGGTTTCAGTCCGAGTTTGCGGAACACTAATCAACACCAATAGGAATTGGCCTAAAATATTACTAATAAAACTAAACATACCAAATTTTCTTTGCCACTTATTACCAACCAATCAAGCACAGAAACATTTACTACTCAACTACCAAATTCACGCTCACCCATTGAAAAATAGTATTTACAAGGTTTTTCTCTAACAATATGCCTTATGTAATGTTATAATATACATCTTAGAGTGTTCTCCAACCTATTCTAGCTAGATTTATTTTATTTATTTAAACTAATAATAGGAAATAGAAGGTGTAATGTCATATTGGGTGCTCGGTAGCACAAGTGTAGTTAGAAATCTTTAACTATAAA